GCAAAACTCTCGAGAAAACTGACTGAAGAAGAGGAAACTTTTAAAGATATTCTTTACATTATCACGTTTCTTAACCATGTAAGCCCTAAAACGGTGGATTTTATTTCGCAGATTACTAGTCGAACGTTTTTCAGTGTGTCTCTGATGAAAATGTTCTCCGCAGCAGGTTTAAAATCCCCCAATATTTCTTTTAACACTATAATAGCTTAAAGTATGACAAATCAGAGGAACATTATATACAACATTTTTATCACCCTTAACTGCATTTTAATTGTTCCTGTGGTACTCAGAAAATGGATCTCGGCGGAATCTTTGCCTTCTTTAAAAGTTCCGCTACTTTTGACGTTGCACCTTCAAATTGGCCATATAGCATCTGAAGTGCTGTTCTTTTACTTCTTAATAAGTATAATGTATAGTTCTTGTTAGCTGTAAAAATATTAAAGGGTGTCATAAGCGAACGTTAGGTGGCTACTGAGTCAAAAATTAAATTAAAATAAATTCAATGTAATATTTTTTTCCGACTGCCTGATTTCCAATCACGATTTGCCGAACTAGCTGACATACCGTTTTTTGTGTTTAGAAAAACTAACCCTTCAACAAACAAGATCATATATTGGGTTCTTATTTTGAAAATCTAAGCACAGCTTAAGTGCTTCTTTCTGCCATGCCATTTTAAAAAGACGTGAGGAACGTCAGGACACTGTTACCATGACGACAGTTACAACAAACTTCAACGAGCAAATAAGTTTCGGTTTCTGCGGGCAAAACTTATTTTATTTTTCCTTTGTGTTAAAAAAAAGGAAGTGAAAAATGATTCCTACATCCGATTCTCTTCTGAAATACAATAATCCGATGTTGATCAAGAATTCAGAGACTAAATCTCCAAAGGTGAGTTTGCTGCAGTCACATTGAAATGGTAGGTTTGTACATAAATCGGACCAAGATTTATGCGGCAGGACCACCACAACATAGTAGATATGTGCGTTAAAATAAATTCCAATATAACCGAAAAATGTAGGCCTATGTGGTTAAAAAAATTAAAATAAATAAGGCCTCCAAGTATACTTAATTAATTTAAACGATTATGGATTACAGCTAAATAAAATAGTAATTTTTTCAAGGAAGAATAAATAGTTTCTAAGTTGATTGCTTAAGGAGTGTCTCCACCCAAAGGGGAAAAGAAAAAAAAATTAGCTCTTATTCTGGATTCAGTCTTTGATGAGAGGTTTTCTTCATAAGGATATCCAGACTGTACTTGTTTATATTTTACATACCACACTTTCCTTCCACCAACGTTTTCATTTGCTTGGATTCAGGACTTTAAACCACCACCTTTTGGAAACCTTACACTGCAAAAAAATTTAATCTAAAGTGCTCTTAGGTGCATGTTTAGATTCAACTATTAAATTTTCACATAACTTTTCTGTTATCTGGTATTCTCTGGACAACAATACCTCAGCAGCCATCAGACTTCAAACCAACTACTCCACCTTCTAAATCAAAACCTGCAACGAGTGAAGACAATAATGAAACCAAGCAGGTCCTGGAAGCCATTTTTCCACCCAGGTATGCCCATGTTCTTATTTAGTAAACTGTCCTATTTATTTCAAACTATTTATTCTCCACCATTAATGTTGCAGGGAATGGATGGACGAAAACCAGCT